AAGTTGAAAGTGGGTTACGGGTATATGTCTCCCACTGATACTTCTAATCCCACTGAGAGCTACCCATGAACCTTCAAGTAGGACACCTAGAAATAACAACAAATTCACAACGTTGCGCTCCTTGCCTGGGTAGCTTGGTGGTGTGGGTTCACAGGGTGGTCTTCCCTGCATGTTGACGTTGAAAGGCGAAGCTCCTCAAATCAGTTGACTCATGGGATGTCGCTCTCCCCATAAACCCAAAAAACCTTGGGCGCACGCGACGGCTCGAGCTCTTCGGGGTGTCTCGGCTGCCTGCTGGACAAGTGGGTAAATGAAAGCCGGATGCAGAGTTGTAGGCGGTCTATTCTGCAGACTTTTGGAATGGGTAGAACCTAGGTATATTACGACCACTCATCTCATCTCTAAGTTTTGACGATGTAGGAAGCTATAGGACAGGAGCTGCCTTTAACTTATAACTGGGAATTTCCCTACTCAGGATAGAAGGCGTGCGTTCTTTGCGCCTTGGATGCCTGCTGGTGATGGAGCTCTGGACGAGGACCTGCACAAAGCTTAGGCAGTAACAGGGTAGACGGAATCTGTTAGCATAGGGCCCTGAACAAAAACGTTCAGCATTGAATGTACTTTCCTGACGAATTATCATTGGTTTTTGGGACACATTGAGCTACAAATGTGTGAGGGTTGCTTCAGTAGATCAAAGTACCAGTTATTAGGCTTGTACAGTAGCGGAGGGCTTCTTTCTGCTTTGTTGCCAGAACGGTTCCTCGGAACTGGATCACGAGCAGACTGGCTATCCCGATGCTGTACCCTACAGGGCCCGCTGAGTGTGTAGTAGCTTTTTGGCTGTACAGGACACCGGCCCACTTCAGTTGCTTCGCAAGGGGGCTCTTCACAAAGCAGGCAACACTGCCGTGCAAATGCCTGTCACAGCACAAAACTTTTATTGAGCGGTTGCCCATGGCTCCTTTGCTACTAGCACTGGCAGCCATGGCGTCGAGACTGCATAAGTCACTGTGAACAAGTAGTAGTTTAGTGCAAGCATGAAATATATTGATTGGGTGTTTTCACGAATTGCGTGGGGTGGGAGGTGTGAGGGAGGGGCCCAAAAAACATGAAACGCTTCAGCTGCAGAAGTTGTTGGCCGATTGAGGTGGAAGGGCCTTACTGCACATCCTTCTTGGCCTGCGGGGGCTTTGGTTACATCCCTGCTCAAGTCATAGTAGGTGCTGGGCGCAACCTGCACAAGCCTGTGTTTCTATATAGATTGTTGCCCCTTCAGCTTTCACGCCGTTTTCATGTCTTCGCCAAAGCCCTAGAACTGCGAGGAAGTATGCTCCGCTTTCTGGTGGTCTTGCAGAGTAGGTACAGGAATAGCTTGGGTCGTTGTGCGGGTGCGGCCTTATAATTCTACAGAAAAGCGGTCCCGTCCCCATCATAAAACCCGAAAAGGAGCTGTGAACCATGAATCCCACCAATGCCCTACTTCCTAAACCTAGAATATTGCACCCTGAGCCCAAACTACCAACTACCCACCCTAACCTCGTGACTGACTTTTCTGGCCTCAAGTTGGTTACTTCTCGGTTGTATGGAAGGATCATACGTATAGATGTAAGGTTGGCTGTCAACTTCTTCAGCAACATACCAACAGTATCAATCACCAGAATATAGGGGTTTCTCAAAGTAGGGGTTGTTTGCGGTCCCTACATTTATATCAGGACTGCCAAAAGATCAATGCAGGCATCAGGGGCTACCTAGCTTCTGAATCTTGCAACCCAGAACCGATAACCCAAAACACTAAACGCTAGCCATTAACCCAGAACCCGAACCCCAAACAGGAATTGATGAGATGCTATCAATAAGGACCACTTCAAGTCTGTATTGCGTTCTGGTACTCAGTTTCCATCTTATTTCCCATTATCCCTATATGACCCCAATATAACCCCAGTATAACCCTTATATAATCCCAATACACCCCCCCTATAAGATGAAATCAAAAACTCTGTCCGACGACAACAACACAGCAGACCTCCCCTGCACCTCCGCATCCTGAACTTGGAAACCCTTATTAGGGTGATATGGTGTTAGAGGGCTATTATAGGGAATATATTGGGGTAATATTGTGGTGATATTGGGGTTCGAAAAGGATAACGGAAAAGAAAAAGGAAACTGCTATGATGGGATTATATGGGGGAATCCTTAACCTACACGCACATTACCACCCATGAACCTTCAAGTGAATCTCCCCCAGGCCTGGAACCCCCTCTTTTACGGGACTGCACAGACCGACTGCGACTCCGGAGTCCCTGCGCCACTGCTGGAGCCTCGCAAGGAAACCTACTATAGGAGCCTTCTTGGATATGGTTTAGGGTTTAGGGTTTAGGGGTTTAGGGTTTTTACCTACTGTAGGAGCCTGAACTCTAAGGGATTTGGAACCCCAGTAGAAATTATAATTTCAGCTAAATATTAGGATTGTTGGTAACAGCAATAATAATCATTTTCAGGAGCCTTGTAGTTAATGGTAGCTTCCATTTTCTTTTCCATTATCCCTATTCACCCCCATAAAATCCACACAAATCCCACGAGGGGCCCTTCTGTAGGGATAATGGAAAAAATGGAAACTACTGTTATAGTATATTGGGGTTATGGTTTAAGGATTCAGGTTTGGGCCTAAACACGTGCCGGGTGCGTCAGGTGACTGAAGAAAGGCCGCAGAGGGCAGAAAGTGGATGCGGGCAAAGCTCATTCACTGGCGGCGCGGGGGAGTCAGGCAAGCGCAGTGGATTCGGCACTTTCCCTCAGGTTCAGGGACTTGATTTTGGGTGTCTGTTTGCGAGGACAAATATTTTTTTTACGGACAAGTCAGAAGTAAAGCGCTCTGTCTGAGAGCCTGAGGTGACAGATCTGCCAGTTCTAAACGCAGCTGTCGGGAGATTTGCGCTTTTGCGGCGGAAGATTGCCATTTACACCTCTTGCGACCTATGAAAAAAACTATAGCATGTGCAGAATCCAGTGGGCGCGCGGTGAGAGTCATTCGTGGAGCTCAGCTTGCAAATTTCAACTAGCTGCTTATTGAAGGCCCTTCTTTTTTGAGCATGGATGCTATTGTGTGGATGCTCTTGAACATGAACGTTCCTGTGGTTTGAGCATAGATGCTCTGGCAAGATAATGCCTGGAAAATGAGCACTGTAATGGTTCGGGCATGGATGCCCTGGTAACTGCACTTACTAGTAAGAGATGAATGATGCTACGGTTTGGGCTTGGATGCTGTGGTAATCGGATGCACTCGACAATTAACGTTATTCTGGTCGAGGCATGGATGCTCTAGTGAGTGTATTGCGCTCGAAAATGGCTGCTGTCACGGTTTGGGTCAATGCTTCAACAAGCCGCATAGCGGCATCATGTTTCTGGTTCCAGGCAGCGTTTGAGGTTTGATTCATGAATGCCTCCTCTCAAAGGATTATAACTGGATTTTGGGCTTGTGATTGGAGGGCCCAATTCCAACGGTGGAGAGCCACACGAATTAAGTATCAGGCAATTAGACCATGCCCCGGAAACTCAATGGAAACTGGGTTTGAATAGGTTTCGTAGGGTTGCACAGTCGCACATACGGGAACAGGGTTCAAGGGTGTACTCATATGTAGGGGTGATACGGGCAGGAGACAGGTTTGTCCTCGAGCATGAAAAAATAAACCTCCCATTTATAGTGTTCGCGGTATATGGTTCAGGACTTAGGGATTAGGGTTTAGGGGGTTATGGCAGCTTGGAAGCGCGTGTGACACATTGACCTTGGGGCTTCCCGAAGTCGCGGTCCCTTTGCAAAGGTTCATAGACATGAAATCCGAAACTTTCGGGTTTCGGGTCTCCCGAAAACAAGGAGCCTTTTGTACCTGTTGTCAGGATTCTTGCATGTCCTGGTATTTAGAAAACCACGACAGCTTGGTCACCTAACCTGAAATTCATCATAAGAAGAATACTGACATCCTGATGAGGATGACCAAAGATAGCAAAATAAATACGGATCATAATGCCAGGACTATTACAAGGGAATATCTCAGAAATACAGGCCACCCACAGCCAAAAAGCCCAATCTGTTTAATTAGAGATTTTGGATAGCCCGAACAACCCCCCAAAGTTACTGATCCCTGAGGAGTTTAGGAAATCATAGGGGTCCCTGTTAGAGTTAGGAAGCTTTTTTGGGGCCAGGACCCTATAACCATCATGTGACTATACCTGGGTCCTAATTTGGGGGTTGGGCGTAGACAAGCTTGTGAGAACTGCGCATGCTGACTTGGACCCGCGCTCCTAAGAGAAAAAGGATCCTTTTGTAGTAACATCAGGGAACGCATGCCCCCAACAGTACAGCGCATCCTTCTAATCCCGGACTCCCTGAACCGCCTGCACAGTCCCAGGTGCCGTTTTATTTCCATGCTCTTGTTCATGGATGCTCTGTTATCTGGAGAAACGCTAAATACCAAACTGTAATTCATGCTGATGCGCAAGACTGACACCTAATCGCTATTCATAATCAAGTATCCTTGATGTGGACCCAGCTGAGATGGGGGCGGAGGGGCTGCGCTGCATTTGTGCATTGGGCAGCTGCTCCAGGGAGCGTGCCTCAGGAGACAAATGCTTTTTCTGATGGTTGAACCAAGGAATGATATTGGCAGCAAGAATTGCAGGAGGAATTTTAATACAGCAGCAGCAACAGGATAAGATAAGAACAAATGTGACCCTTGTCTCTGTCGGGGACTGTAGTACCCCCATTCAGAATACTGCTCAGGAGAATTTCGGGCTGACAGAGAAACTTCGTTGTGCGATCTTGCAGGCGCAAACGTGCATGTCAACCTTTCTAAGCCCCACGTCGGACGGAACCTTGCTCGTGCTTGACAGGGATACGGGGAGTCAATACATACTTGTACAAGGGCTAGGGCCGGACGTGATTACAAGGCCTTCTACACTGCCCCATGTACGGCAGTAAGGGCACAGAGGCCGAGTCTTTTTGCTCCAGGATTCGCCCGCGCTTCGAGCAACAAATTCACGATCTCGGAGTGACCATGCACAGACGCGCGCAAGAAGGCCGTGCATCCAGACAAGACCTCAACTGTCTCGACATTTGCGCGGGCCTGTAGCAGAATGCGCACAGTCTCTGCGTGGCCAAAGTCAGATGCCTCGAAGAGGGGCGTACCACCTTGAATAACACCGTTTTTTGTTTCGAGTTTAGTTAGGGATACTGATAAAAATTGTTATTTCCAACCTAGATGGGATGATGCAAGCAAGGCAAATGTGAAAAGTTCCCAGATTTCTAAAGATCAGATTCTTTACTGCACCTATTCCGTTGTGAATTGTTTTTGGATTGCCAATAGGTGGGACCCCTACTCGGGAAGTGCTAACAACAACCGAGCAACCCACTTTAGGGGCCTTGTCTACATCAGCGCGGGCCTCCAACAACAGGCGCACGACGTCCGTGTGGCCTTTGCAGGGATTCCAGGGTTGCACCCCTGATTGAAGTATTCCACGGAAAGCCTAAAAGATTATGCCTTCATCTAAGGGCTACGTTGGGTCCATAGTGGGGGAACCTTAGGGGTACGACCTTGCGGATACAACCCTGGAACCCAGACGCGCCGTTGGGGAGCACAAGTTAGCTTTAGTCGGGCATGTTGGGCTGTTGGCGTCAGGGCCTTAGGGGAACAGCCAGTCACCAAGAGCGCGCCCAGCTGCGGACAGATAGCAATAATAGTAGTAGTAATAATTGTAATAGTGATAATTGTATTAGTAATAATTGTAGTAGTGATAATTGTAGCAGTGATAATTGAAATAGTAATAATTGTAATAATAATAATCGTAATAGTAATTGTAAGCAATAACAATTAATGATAATAATGACAGTAGTAATGTTGAAGCTACGCCGAGCCATGCCGAGCCTTGCATCGAGGCGCGGAATAATGCCGTGTCGCCTTCGTGGTCAACCAGGTCTGGATCTTGAGGTCTTTGCCTTACTATACTAGGATTTATAGGGATTATATGGGGATAATGGAAAAGAAAATGGAAACGACAATAATGGGTTATGTAGGGCTTAGGGTTCAGGGTTGAACGGTGGCTGGCAGGGAATGGAGGCAGGGATTGCTACAGTAGCCCCATCATCATTCACCATGGCATCCCAATAATCTCTTCCCCCACTCCCTACCGCACTAATAAGATGACCCTACACCCACAATCCACATTGGTAGCGTGGCTTCCTAGCTTCCTCCTTTCCATTCCCCCATTCCTTACGAAGGATCGGGAAGGCTTGGTAGGTGGTACGCCTCTAAAGACTGCACAGCCAAAACCCTATGAATAACCCTGACATCCTTTAGAAACCTAAGCCCCTAAAACCTGTAGAGTGTTGTGGATGGAATGAGGAAGTTTCAAGCGGCAACCTAACTCGACATAGCAGTTACTGTTTTCTTGTCCTCTCTTCCACTCTCTCAGGCCCGTGACAGTATACGACTTGTGCAAACCTGTTATACTAAGCACCAGAGAGTTTGAGTTGCAAGAAGCTTTCAAGCTTGTGAAGGTGTCCATCAGCAGCAGCGTCTGTCAGTTCGTCCATTTGATCTTGCGAGGCATTGGCAAAAGGCAACCTTATTGGCGGTCAGTAGTCAGTGGCTGGTGCCTTGTTGAAATATACATCAGATATAACGTCATAAAAGCATAATTACGTATTCCTTGATTGGGCTTCAGTGGAAAAACCAAGGAACGAAGGATGGGGATAAAAGGCAGATTCAGGGGTTACGGCTGTTTTAGGGTGTAGCGGCTGAGGATGCAACGTTGATTGGATGCTTCAAATGGACGTCCCGGTGCCTCAACGTGCCAAATCCTATTTGCTAAGTTCCCTCGACAAAACAAGCTGACTTCGCAATTCTGGTAGGACTGTGCCTAGCCAAGAAATGGTTAGGAATGAAGACAAAAATGCAAGCAACTATGTTCATTTGAGGTTTATGGTTCGGGGGTGCTTTGCGGATAACGAGGGGTTGAAAGTGTTGGAAAGCACCTTTTCTATTCAGGAACACAGGCATTCCTGCTGAAAATACGAGCCCATTATAGACTATAGGAATTCATTACCACGTTCTCTACTTCGAATGAGTGACTATGTACCTGCAAGCAACAAGACCAGCTGCACGTCCCTCGGCGACTTCAGCCTGAAATCATCCTCCAAGGACGTTCCTTCATGCACCAGCCTTGAGTAGTGACTAAACTTTATGAATTCAAAAAGCCTGGCAAACCGCTGTTGAAACTTTGTACATCTGGATATATATATATATCTATGCATGCATATCCTGATTCAAGATAAGGTCAGATGACGCAGGCAGAATTCGCATATTGCGGAAGTGAAGGAGTGGATCCTTATAACAATGCGTATAGAACCCTCAGAATAACAGCTGCACTCCCTCCCCCTGAAATATTGTTGAAATGCTGCTTAGACACAGATTCATGCAAAAACAATGGATCCCCAATGATCCCCAAATATACATGAAAACTGAAATGACTGTCAACAACAGCCAGGCATCCGTTGCCTGAATCGCGGCAACCCGCACAACTCCTGCAGGTCTTGCTTCAGTGCCCGCACATCGCTCAGCTCTTCCATGCCACGGGCAAGCAGCTCGTGCCCGGAAGCGCTGAAGACACGTAACATCTTGATTCGTAGAGGAGGCCACAACACTGGGTCCTCACCGGGATACCATCAAAAATCATATGTGCTCTTTCCTAATAGTGGTTGTGAGTCACTAAACGGCTTAAAACGTATAGAAAATCCAGTAATGACCCAGAGCGCTTTTGAAGTCTTTCGACTGCTGGGCAAGGGGCTGGTGCAAGAAACTCAGAGGCCAGGGGGCAGTGGCGCTGCCCCAAGCTTGAAGAGCTGCAGACAATGCGGAAGTTCTGCCATTGCACAGCGCTTAGCAGCGATAAACCATTTGTTCGAAAGCAACCTTTTGTGCGGACAGTCACCCAACTAATTTTTTGACCTGGTATGCTGAATGCCCTGTTCATACCATGAGAACTGCAACGTAGATGGTTTAATTAATACATCCTCTGTAAGGCGAACGCCAGGTGGTTGATGCTACCGAGACACGCTGCAACAGTCAGGCTGTCAGCAGGAAGCTAGAAGAAACAGAATAAAGGCCAAATCATTATGAGCCAGCGGAAGCACGCATCAGATGATACCACCTGAACGCATACAGTAATAGCCCCTCCCCTCCAGGAAGCCTTTCACATTGCACTTGAGGAGCCAAGAGTGGCCACACATCCTAAAGCAAACCCCACCTACACTTGCGCAGTTGAATCATCCATTAAGAAGAAGACCAAGTCCAGATTCCGAAGCCGATCGCCAAAACTGCCCTCAACCCTAAGCCCACCCACTTGCTCCTATTGCACTTACTTTTATTACCGTTACTATCACTTTTACCATTGCTATGACTTTTGCAACGGTCTAAGGACCATGCGGATCCGCTTCTGCGCGGCACGCTGGGCAGAGCATTGGGTGCACCTGAGCTACTACCCACCGACCATCTAAGTGGTATATGAGGATATGGGGGTTTCCCAAAATTAGGGGTACCTTTTTTGGGGGTTCCAATATTAAGGACTATAGTATTTGGGTTTTTATATTGGGTCCCCCTATTTTGGGAACTACCATATGGAGGAGCCCACTCCAGTAGGCACCCTTTGGAAGGACAGTAGGCGTTTTAGGATCTCATTTGGGCTTGCATGTTACCTTCTGGGGGATGGACGGTTGTAAAGGTTTGGAGTCTAGAATGCGGCAGGATAATGAACGGCTTTGGCTTTCACCAAGCTCGGTGCAACCTCGTGATTGCAGTGGAACGCAGGGGCCTGCAGTTCCAAATCGTAATTCAAGCAGGCTGGATATCAGAGTGCACTCTGCAGCCACCCGAAAAACGAACAAACAAAAAAAAACTACTCTTCAAACCTGAAACCCCTATAAAGCCTAAATGCTGAATCTAAAGCCCTCATGTTGGATCCTACCGGGTCTCTATTCACGAGGGGAACCCCGAAAACTAATTTCGGCCATAGCGTTAAATCAATTTCAACAGGACCATGATTTCTCCTAAAAGCGTTCGACATCAAAATGCGTAGGCCCGTCGCCTACTTGTTTGCGCTACACAATTTCGCACAAATCCCTTTCCCTCGGTGGAGCGGGGGGGGAATAATTTCGCCCAACTTTCGCATAATTTCGCCCAACTTCCGCATAATTCAGAACCAAAAAATCTCCGCTCACCCGCCACTGGTTGCTGAGCTTCCTGGCTCAAAACTGATCAACGGCATGGAAGTTTTACATTTACACAAGACGCTTAACATCGAAAAGGTTAGCTACCCAGCAACGCTGTGATGTAGAAACCTGAATTTGTAACAATGTATGATACAGTCCGGGAAGAATATTGTAAGTATTTAGGCCCCTAATTACATTCATTCCCATGAACTCCGATCAAAATCGGTTTCCTTTCACTTTCCAATATGTTTTGCATTCAGTTCCCGAAATCCCTGTTCAGAGGATGCCTCGGAGATCTCCTGGCATATCTCCATGCACGGATCCGCCGATGTTGGGCGTGCTGCCACCTCTGAAGGCCCCCCAATTTGCTTTACAAAGAGGACCCCTGATTACAAAACATGAGTAGGGGAGACTACCAACCTTCTGAAATTGCCACCTAGATTCTGAAAGGCATGGGAGGTCAGCAGGCTGGGTCATGCTGCAAGGCGGTTTCTGCTTTGTCTAACGGCGACATTGGATTCAGGGATTGATGATGCTTTAGGGTGATTTCGCAGCTGAGTATGCAGAGTGGCTTGCATGCTTCAAAGGGACTTCGGGATGCCTCAGCGTGCTACACTCCAGTTGCTGAGTTCCGTGCCCTAAAGCAGGTAACCTCTTAACTGTGGTTGGAGTAGATGTGCCCGGAAAAGTTTAAGGTCGGCGATTCAAAGGAGAGGGGGAGTGAGGGGGAGGCAGGGAACTTGGAAGCCTTCAGTAGTTTCCCAACGATTGCTAGGAAGTGACGGCGAGAGGAGCGTTTGAACAACTATCGTGAAAAGTGAGCAAACACCCACCAGTTCGGCAAGCACAACCCGCCCTGCATATTACAAACTACAAGTGGGCAAACACCTGCAGAGTCCAGGCCCATTCCGAAGTAACTGCAAAACCCCACAACACTGTGAAGTCTTTTGCGAAACCAGATTCACAAACGACAAAACAGACCGACGCTATTCTTAACCCTACACCCTAAAACCTTCGGCATACCCAGGGTCAGCGCAGCGAGGATACGCTGACCTTGGTGTATCAAAGCAATGGACTAGGAATATGAGGTTACATATGGGTTTATTTATATATATAGTATGGGGTTATATAAGGGTTTATATGGGATTATAGATGGTATTATATTATGGGATTCTACGGGTTATCTAGGGGAGCATGTAGGGTTTAGTCTACGGATGGTGGCTTTGACAGCTCAAACGCGGAAGCAAAAGGAGCCGCGGAATCTGGCTTGATCAGGAGTTCAGGTTGCTTTGCTCAATTTTGAGTTTGGGGGTGCTGCTGAAAAAGCCGCAGCAACGACCCAAAATGTCTAGACTGGCTTAGAAGTAAGTCAGACATCCAGAAATCATAAACAATGTGTTGACAGGCCTTGAGATATGGTAGATCGGCCTGCCTGAACAACTCAATGGTCCCCCAGACTAACATCGATTCTGAAAGTATGCTTTCAAGACTTCGGGGGACGTCAGCTCTTTGTTGGGCTTGGTTTTTTCAACTAAAACGAGCGCTTAGCCACATCTGGACTCTCGTCTGCAGCTTCTCCTGAGCCACAGACGACCGATCGATAAGCTTGGGTGGCTCTTTGCGAAGCCGCAATTTCTGCAGCTGCTCCTGACCACGTTGAGAGGACGTTGGTGCAAAAGTGTGACCCTAGTACTGTCATAACCAGATCCAGAATATTGCCCAAATACTTAGGCTAGGGTTACCAAGCCGTCTTCTTGCTTTTTCATTGTGATGTCCCAGTGGACATTCAAGTTGCGTAGAGGCAATGGCTGTTTAGCATTAGGACAAACGCTCCGAACTCCCGCGTGAGCTATTTTACAGCAAGCCAGGGCTTCCCAAATGCCCACAGGCGGAACCTCTAACTCCCAAGATAGCAGGTATATAGGCTCTTTATGGAGACTTCTGGAATCAAGGCCCTAACTGAGAGACAGAACAAATTGCTTTCAGACCGCGGCACCAACAACATCCGGAGGATCCTGCTGCCACCCTTCAAAACCCTGTGAATCACCGCGGGAAATTCCTGGAACTGTCCTTCAAACAATGCGAACCACCGATAGGATTCATGATCTAGAGGCTGGGACTGCAGGGTTAAGGTTGGATGCTGCCCCCAAACTATGACAGTCAGGTATGGGACCCTTGAGGATACAATATTACAGTTACAATGCTGGTGCATTTTTAGGGTTTGGGCAGTATCCCAGTGCTTTGGCAAATGAGGGTTGTAGAGACAACCTGGTATATAGGGCTTAAGTAGATTGTGAGATTCATGCATGGGATGCTACGGGTTGTTT